TAGTCACTGTCTACCTTTTAATGAGATTGGATTGTGTCTCTTCTGCATATTAGTTGTTTGCGGTGTTGCGGCTTCTGAGGGCATGCTTCCCTTCATTTTTTGTTGTTATTACTATTTATGTGGGATGGGATTTACGTGCTCTGATTTGGCCTCCTATCCGGGTCTGTTTTTTTTCAACTGCGTTGCCTTGCCTGCTTACTCTCTTCCTATTGTCCTGTTTACAATTTCGTTACTTTTTGTAATCTGCTACATTATTTGGTGGTTGTTGTGACCCTGTCATTCCTTCCCGTTCTAGGAGTCGCTTCTCCCAGCTCATAGTGTCACACCATGTTTACTTCCAGTTCCTGTTCTTAGCATCTAATTATTCTCTCAGCTGATCCTTCAACCTGGTCGGTTCATGTTTTGTTCTTAGCGTCTATTAAAGTGTTTTTAGGTGTGGGCGTGTGAGTTGAGTGTATTGGGAATAGGTCCTATGCCCTCTCCCTTATTTTTCTCATATCTTAATGAAATGACTGACAACTCTCCTATGTTGTTTGAGAAAAAATGAAAGTTATACTAGATTTATTAACGTTGATATTGGCCTATCTGGTTCACAGGTAGCTGGAGCTGTTGTTGATGCTAGGTTGCCCCATGAAAGGTAGCTAAACAAGCAAGGAATGCATCTAAGTTGGTTGGTACAATGGAAGTTGCTCTGTCATGGTGTACACTTCCTGGTAAGGGAACCTTAGATCATCTAGGTCCAAGATCAAATGGAGCTTACTTGTGATGATATGTATTGAGAAAAATTGTAAGTTTACTTGTGATGACCCTCAAGCTACAGATCGTTGAGATGTAATGTACTACTACTACTACATATTGTCCCTTGGTAAGATTGTATACATTAATTTTTAGCTGCATCTATTCTTCTAAACATTGGGTGTCTGTCATCTTTGTTAAAGTCCTGCAATGTCCATTCTACAGGTTGTTGCAACTACGAGATGGATGCTTTGAGAAAGTCCTGCAATGTCCATTCTACAGGTTGTTGCAACTACGAGATGGATGCTTTGAGGCCTGCATTTTAAGCAATTGTGAGTACATTTCATGTCTCGATAAAATATAGTTTACCATGACCTGTACCTTTATTGGCGATTTACGAATCTTGTTGATTTTGTTATCTAGAAACTACCAATAGAGTATTTTCTCACATACAGAATACTCAATTTTGAGTTTAGAAAACCACACAGCTTGCAAAATATGCTCAAGCTACTTTAAAGTTGTGTTGGTGCACTACTGCACAAATAAGATGCATCCACAGTATATTAATGATTTTTTTGTTTATTATTCTTGTCCATAGTAGTCGTAGTGCTATGTTCCTATTAATCTTTCCTATTCACGAAAACAAAACAAATAAAACATTCAATTAATTGCAATCAGCAATGATGTAAATTGCAAGTTTCTAGCCCCACAATTTTCGTGTTGAGGATATGCAATATGTCCATTTTCCTTGCAGGGGTTGCCTATTAGTAACCATATGCAATTTTAGTGCCTTAGGATTTGCTCTGTAGTCAATTTGTGTCGTTTTGGGTCTGTTATTAGTTTGGTCTGAAATGAGAAATGTCCTGCATTTATGACACCACAGAAAAGCAACTGTGTTTCGATTTAAACTGCCAAGGGCCTTCACACCTGAAATACATATAAGAGCAAACATAAAAAAAATTGATTCTGCTGTTGTCGCCTTGTTATGGCTTGTGCTGTTGTCGCCTCATTTTAGTGTGTATCTAGATTTCACTAAACTTGGTTCTGCTGTTGTAAGTTAGCCTAGATAGACATTATTTCCCTTATTTTCGTGAATTGATAGAACTAAGTGCATGTTTTTTTTGCCATAGGACTACGATCACATCCTGCATGATGACATAGACTTCAAACCAGATGACATGTAGGAGCTGGTGCATTCGAATATGCGTAAGTATACCAAGCAGAGGCTCAAAAAAACTTTTGCGAACTTTTGTCTTGTTATGAAACTTTCCTACTTATAAGCGATTTCCTGAGACTTTATTTCAAGAACCAAAGGAGCACAACCGCCATATCAATTGGTAAGTTTATCTGGGCACTATTTTTTTCCCTCTGAGTCAAACTTGTAGTGCTTGCTGCATTATTCTCTGTTTGCACAGGGTTTTTAAGTGGTTACATCATTGCTACTTCTACATTCTAGTTTGATAAAAAAATGTGATTTATGTCAGCACACATCAAATTTTTGTCCTTGCCATTTCATAGAATAAAATTATTCCTTGTGATTTATGCTAACACATCTTGAACTTTGTTAATTATGATTTGTGGCAACACACACCTCTTTTTTATCTTTGTCATTTGTGCTAGCTCGCCTTTTCCTTTGTTTATTGTGGTTTGTGCTTGTCCAAGCCAAGCCTTGTCCTTTCATAGAAAAAAATTGTCTCTTGTGATTTGTGCTAACACTTCATAAACTTTGTTAATTTTGATTTGTGCCAACACACATCTCATTTTTTGTCCTTGTCCTTGCATATCAATATAATACAGACCCCAGAAGCTAAACTCCTCCTTGTTATTTTATGTAGAAGTTTTTTTATTTTTTATGCATGATATTTGCTCATGATAATTTTTCTATAATAGTGTACCAGTGTGATCTCCAATAGCTGCATGTGCTTGTGGCAGCTTACTCACATGCAAGAATGGTTGTAGTAGTGTGCTAGTAGGATCTGCCAGTGGGTGTAATTGTAGTTTTTCTTGATGATTGCGTGGTCATGTGTTGGGTATCTGCTTTCTCAATGTGGTAACTTGTTTGTGTCATTGTGTGTAATAAGGCTGGGCAAAAATAACCGAGAACTGAACCAAAAGAACCGAAACCGAAAATTTCGGTTAGCTGTTCGATTCTCAGTTCTTAGGAACCAAATTAACTGATCAAATTTAGGTTCCTGGGATTGGTTAACAGAAATAACCGAAGGAACTGAAATTCACAAACAAGCCCAATAAATCTTACAACCTAGACCTAATACCAACTTAACCCTAGATATAAAAGGTGGACGACACCCCCTCACAGCCTCACACCCTCACATTTTTTAAAATCTCGGCATTGTGCTTTTTTAAAAATCTTTTTTCCTATTTTTCTATTCTTTTTTTGCTGCTTGTGTAAATCATCGGTTAGTTCAGTCGGAACCGGAACCGAACCGAACTAACCGAAACCGATTTTGCTCGGTTCCAAGATTTGCGAAGAACCGATCGGTTCCTATTTGTAGAGAACCGAATTTGTGTCATAAACCGAACAACCGAACCAAAACCAATCGATTAACCGAACGCCCAGGACGAGTGTGTAAGGTATCATAAGGAACCTGGGCATAGGAAATGATGATCGAGCAGCATGCCAAGACCATCTGAAGGTGTGCAAGTACTTGGTTGAGGAATTAGGATGTCATCCAAATATGGCTGCAACTAGAGGCTCATGTTAAGGTTCTTTCTATATTTTTTGTGCTTCTGGAAATTGTATTCTCTCATTATGTGAACCTTTGGCATCTGGCAGTATGAGGTATTTAAAATGTTCTCTCATATGTGTTGATGTCTCCCAGTTTGTCATTCTTTTAATGTACACATTCTGTGCTGTTTAATTGTACTGTCAGCAGGCTCCACATTCATGGACTGGATTCTGTATTTATATACATATATAGTATAATTGTATTAACAACATGTAGTATTTGCACTATTTGAAACATGCAATTTTCATGTTCTTGTTTTGTAATTTTTGAAGATCATAATCATTGTGCATTTTTTCACCGAGAACATCTCATTATGTGTGAGTAAATATTTTGTTTCATAGTAATTTCATCGATATAATGCATTACACTTAATTTGCATATAAGATTGTGCAAAATCTAGTATCATCTGAAATAGTTGGGTGCTCGGAGTTAATTTTGATTTGTGGCATAGTTTCTTTCTGCAGTGGCAGAATTATTATTTTGTCAATAAGCTTGTACGTGTGTTTACTGGGCCAATAGTTTAATTCTGGCCCAAACGAGCACTAACTTCAGTTAACGGGTATCGGTTTATCCGCCCGTTAAGCTTTGGCGGGTTTGATTAGCGGACCCGTTAATATTGCCTGCGTACAGAAACAATCAGGATAGAATTTGGTCGTCGGATCCAGATCTGATGGTCCACAGACGTCGCCTGCAAAGTTGCTAGATTTCATGCACCTAAAATATAGCCAACTTTGGTTAAATGTGCCATTTTGTTATTTTAGTTAATGGGCCAACTTTGGTTGCACAGAAATTATAACAGATTTCCTCTACGTGGTCCTTTTTTAAAAATCTATTGTTTTAGAGGCAGGCAACAAACGTATCCTAGCTTATGGTAAAACACATGGTTTCTTCTCTGTTGGAAATCATGTGTTATACAAGCAACCAACAACCATGTGCTAGCTTATGCTAAAACATATGGTTCTTCCTCCATTACAGATCGTGTGTTTTGCAGCCAGCAAACAATCATGTGCTACCTTTTACTGAAATACATAATTGTTGGATAGATAGACTCTCCTATAACTGTAGCCATGAGAATAACCAAGAGCTCATCCGGTACGTCTGTGTAGTGAATTTCGTGGTTAATATGAAGCTCTGAACAAGCTCAACCAAGTATTAGAATGCAGAGTTGCACGAATGCACAGCCACTGCATTCACCGTGGCTACCTGGCCACCCGGGTAGCAGTAGAGTAACTTGCCAAATGCAAAGACAGTGACATCGCTACCGGTGAAAAATGGTCTGCTCGGATACCTTATCCGGCGCCCTCCAATGGGCACACGCCATGGCCACGCCCTCAAATCCTCGTCTCCTCCACCACTAACCTCGCATTCCCACGGCCCCGCCATATCTGCCAAGTCAGCATCCCACTATATACCCAACACCATTAATCAAGCAGACACGTCGTTGCTACCGAGATCAAGAGGAAACACCACAGCCGCCGCGCCTTCCAGTACTCGAGGAAGAGGAACACCAGCAACGCCATGGCCTCATCGACGACCGCCGCCGTGCTGTCCCCGCCGTCCGTGGCCGGGCTCCGCCTGGCGCCGTCTCCCCGCCGGGCGCGCGTGGCGTTCCGCGCGGCGCCGGCGAGGCGGTCCGTGGCGGCGCGCGCGGAGCTGAGCGCGTCGCTGGTGATCAGCCTGAGCACGGGCGTGTCGCTCTTCCTGGGCCGCTTCGTCTTCTTCAACTTCCAGCGGGAGAACGTGGCGAAGCAGGTGCCGGCGCAGAACGGCAAGACGCACTTCGACGCCGGCGACGAGCGCGCCAAGGAGTTCTCGGCCCTGCTCAAGTCCAACGACCCCGTGGGCTTCAACCTCGTCGACGTCCTCGCCTGGGGCTCGCTCGGCCACATCGTCGCCTACTACATCCTCGCCACCTCCAGCAACGGATACGACCCCAACTTCTTCTGAGCGCCTGGCCGTGTTCCTGAGCTTGTATTCTACAGTACTCCGTTTGTGTGTTTGGCTCTGCGCCATGCATGTATCTGATGCTCAAAGATTGGTTAATTTGGACAAGTAGTGCAACTGCGCGTGTATAGTGCCGCGTGAATTTGATCTTCCTCTATGTCTCTGCCTTCTTCAGTTACTGTCCCTGTTTCAGTTGCCATGTTCGCTCGAGTTTATTCCGAAGTACTTTTCAGCCATGGAATAGTGTTTTCCTCTCACAGCATTTCAGTATAAGCATCAGCATAAGCCAAATTTCAGCATCAGCGAACAGGGAATGTCATGCGCAAAGCCAAAGCCAACCTATGTTGTGCTAGTTCATGACTTGAGAACAACACATACATCAGCAGATCAGACGTCTGATACAGTATAATAAGTGAACATTGGCCAGGGGAAAAGAACAAGCAAAAATAGCATTTCCAGGATCCGGGGAAGGGGAACCAAGGCCCCGTTTAGTTTCCCCCAGAATCCAAAATTTTTTGCGCAGTACTCGTCACATCAAATCTTACGGCACATGCATGGAGTATTAAATATAGACGAAAAAAAAACTAATTACACAGTTAGCCGAGAAATCGTGAGACGAATCTTTTAAGCCTAAATAGTCCATAATTAGACAATTTTTACCAAATACAAACGAAAGTCTTCAGGTAGCTAAAAACTAAAAATTTCCGGAACTAAACACGCCGAGTAGTTTCACCGCAGTGTAGTGATTCCCGGTGAAAACGGAGTTGATGTCACAAAACTGAAGTTTCTTAGAGCTAGTTGATGCCTAATAGATAACAAAAAAAACATTTTTTTAAGAATACCTACATGATGTTTTCTGACCGTGCAAACAAAAAAACAATTTGAACAAGTAGTGGGACCACATGGTTTTACTGCCACGTGAATTTGGTATTGGAAGAAGCAAGTGCAATTCAGTAAGTAATATCACTTGAACAACAATTTCATCAGTAACATAATAAACAATTCAATCTCATTACACGTCCAATATAGTAATCATCACATCACATTACACGACGGCAGCAGTGGACAGCAAACTCTGAACCGCTACAGAATTCTAAACCATGAAGGAAGGCATCAGAGAACGCCTCACGGTGGTTAGGCTCCCACATCTTTCTCGGATACTCTCTCGTGGTGTGATGGGATGCATTTTCTTCTGCTTCGGCTGTTCTAACATCTTGGGGTCCTCGATGACGCGGATCTTGCGCTGGCTCTTGGCATTCTCGGCCTCCTGGTAGCCCTCTCGGAGCTTACGCTTAGTAGCCAACATCTTGTCGGATTCACTACAACTGCTGCCAGCGACGGGAGTCCTCTTGGATGGAAATTTGGCCGACGTGTCTTTGATTTGCGTCTCGTCTTTGCCGGTGGTGACGGCAGTCCTCTTGGATGGAAATTTAGCCGGCGTGTCTTTGGTTTGCGTCTCGTCTTTGCCGGTGGTGACGGGAGTCCTCTTGGATGGAAATTTGTCGGGTGTGTCTTTGATTCGCGTCTCGTCTTTGCCGTTGCGACGTGCACATTGGTGTTGACGACGAAGGCGAGTCTCTCTTTCTCGGGCGGCATCAGACGAGACAGGTTGTTAAGGGCCTCCATAGCTGCTTTGGCGCTGTCCAGTTCGCTGTCAACGGCTGACCGCCACCCGCGCACAACGTCGCGCGTGAGGCTGCGGATCCGGGATGACTCGTGCTGCCCCAGGGTGGAGACGGACTTAGCAAGGTCGCCGGATGCCAGAGCCCTCGACGACACGGGCACCTCCAGCAGCGTGACGAGGGACTCCGCCATCGCGCCGTCGAGAGCCAAGCAGAGCTGCTCCGCTCTCTCGTCTTCATCTTCGGCGTCGCACAGCATCTCGACGATTCTGCCCCTTAGGGACCGGAACTCGTCGCGGGAGATGGACGGGTGGGCAGCTTAGATGGCGGCGTCGATGTGACCGAACGCCGAGAAGAAGCGCTTCCAGCGGCGAAGCGGGCCTAGCCCTGACATGGCGGCGGCCGGCGGAGTGTCAAACCCTAGCTAGCCTACCGATTTTGTGGCTGTGCGGCCTGCGGGTGGATGGATGCAGTGGCGGTGAGAAGGAGAGGATATGCAATGTGAGTTGAGAGAGCTGCCATTGATTTCCTTATAAATGGCCCGCAGGCGAGTTCGACACAAGAACGGATTAGCATGGCGGCTTAACGCGCACGCAATGTGACGCGTTTCGGCAGGATATTCAGATCCGGATTTGCTTATGAAGTTATAGTATCATGCAGTAGCTCACTCTGCCGATCCAACAGCATTGGCCGCTTGAAGGTTGAATCCAACAAGCCTGGCGCCAGATTTTTGTGGGCATGGGTTTCATTGAATTTATAATTATGTTATATCGTATAGCCCACATAAAACATCATGGCAGATCTTAGCATAAACTACCAAGGTGACGAGATCCCTTTTTGAACATTATGGTGACCATAGCAAAAAGTACACAGGTGGCATTCCAGAATCCAGAGAACCCAGAAGTACAATAAACTCACATTCATAAAGAAATTACTAGCAAAATCGAGTTGCTGGTACAAAAACGAAAATTTGTAAGGCGATTGATGCCTAATAAGTTACAGTGAACAATCTTTCAACAATGCCTACACAAAGGCTGACTGGCATAATGTTCTAACCTCAAGTAGGTACAATGTCCGGAGAAGAGGGCAGGAAGCGAACGAGGATGGTACTGATGGCTATGCATAGCAACACAAACTGGACCGAGCAGAACAAGGAGGCTCTGCTAGCTCTGGCCTGCAGCTTCAGAACTTCTGAAGTCTCGGAGAGCTCCTTGCATTGTGACTCTAGTTTATCCACCATCTCCTCCAGCATCATCACCCTGTTCTCAGCGTGCCTCAGTTTAGTTTCTAAGGACTTGTGATCCGCCGGAAGGGATTTCTGTGCCTCGTTAAGAGCAAATTGATCCATGGTCAGGAGTTTCCAATCCTGTGAAGCTCTCGTAAGGATAAAACACTGAATCTCTGCCTCCATTTTCTCCAAGAGCAGTTGGTCTACATCAGAATGTAGAGACAGCAGATCGTTGTTACATGCTATGGTATTCTGAGGTTGTACTTGGCTGAGTGCATCTAGTTCAAGTATTTTTGAATCCTGCTCACTGATGACCATGGTGGCTTCTTCCAGCTTTGACTCGAGCATCTTTATCTTCTCATTTAATTCTTCTACAGGTGAGCTGCTCCATTCTATTTCACTTTGGTGACTTGTGGAATCTTCGTCAGTTTCTTTCCTGATTGCCACAAGCTTTTGGATCTCTGCAATATATATAGAAAGAAACAGTCAATGGAAAGCACTTGACAGGGGCAGAATAAGATTTTCTTAGAACAAAAACCATGTTTTTGTAGGAAAAGCTAAATAAGGTTTCAGCAGATCATAAAGATATATAGATGAGTTATGACCATGCAGCATATGTTAATTGGCACAACGAAATTTACAATAGTATTTCTCAGAAGAAGCAAAATAAGCATGGAAAAGATGCTAGCTGAATACAACAACGAATACTCCGCTTCGAAGAAGTTACGAAGCATGTAAATTACTCATTTTCAGCTAAAAATTCTAAAGTACACAAGTATATCACAGAACAGGGAAATTCTAGCAGGTGTTTAACAATCAACAATTGTGGTAGATAATTACAGTAGACTTCGTATTCTTGGGAAAAAACCATGACCTTTGAACTGCTTGATGGCTATGATATGCCAATCAAAATGGCAAAAGGTCAAAGCTACTGCATTTGTTTTAGAAACAAGCATGCCTTCACCTTGACCAGCTCTTATTACAGGCAAAATAATTGTTTAGACAAAAAGCAAACAAGGACCATTTGGCAGGATGCTCTTAGCTAAACTCTTCTAGTGGAGCAAACTCATTCAAACAGTGGTGTTCTACTGAATCAACCACCATCAGCATTCCAGCAAATAGAGTAGCCCACATCATAAACCTAAATTAATTAATCTCATTGAGAAAATCCAGGGCATCACCCCAAACTAAAAGATCAAAGATGCCTGCATGTCCATCAAAAAGTAGTAATGAACAATTATGACACTTAGATCATTAATCAAGCATACCAAACAACAATCAACTTTGTCTCTCAAAATCATGAGACGCCATGCAACGAGCAGAATTCCAATACGTAATAGTCTCTAATAGGCAAGGTTTGAATAATTTGAAAGTTCGCAAGTTAAGATGGTAGTGAGGAATCCAAACCATACCATTCTCAAGCGCTTCTTGTGCCGACTGAAGCAACGCCACCGACTCAGCATACGGATCCAAACCTGAATGAGTCCCTCCATTCTCAAACTTGCCGACACTCGCTTCATCAAAGATATGATTGTTGGAATCGGAGTCACAGTTCCCCAATCTCCCTACTACACTCCCATTCTCCTTGTAGAAACCTCCTGTAGCATACCGCAGGTCCCCACTTGGAGGTTCGTCGTCACTTTGATGGCCATCAGGGAATAGAACCTTGTGAACACCGTTGCTTGTGACGCCAGCACTAGATCGCCGCGCATGAGCAGCGTTAGAGCTTCGGAGGTTGGACTCGACGCTGGAGCGAGAATTCTCTGCTTCAGCAGGGGAGGAGGCAACGCGAACGCTAGCGCCGCGCACACGAGCAGCACGAATGCCCTTGCCATGAGCCGCACCGGGGGCGCGGGATCGCGCCCTGTCGCGCTCCCAGCCGAAGCCGACGGACGAGAAGTCGTGGCGCGGCGCGCTGGCGGCCGTGGACAACTTGCTGGTGCGGTCGTCGCTGTTGTCCGAATCGGCGCCGCCAGCTCCCACCGAGAAACCGGCGGTGGCAATCAGGTGGCCCAGATTCGGGTCCAACCTAGTCAGCGCCGGCGCCGGCGGTGGGGACGCCTCCAGCGGCACGAAGCTGGACTCCACGGACGCGACCGAGCTCTCGACCTCCTCTGCAGCCGCGTCCTGCTTTCCCTTGGGCTCGTCGGCGGCAGGACCGTAACGACGCTTGTGAAGCTGCGCCGCCAAGTCCTCACCCGCGCTAGCACCAGCGCCGGTACCGGCCCCGGGGCTCGCCGGAGACCCCTCGTGGTGCTGCTCGCGCGGGATACGGCGCCACCGGCGGAGCCCGCGGCCCTTGGTGACCGGTTCGGCCGGCCGTGTCTGCGGCTCCGGCTCCGGCGCCGGCGCTGGCGCCGGCGACTCGCCCACCGACTCGCCGACGCTGTTGGGGCCGGAATCCATGCCGCCCGCCACCGGAATTGACGTCGGAGGCCGCGGCTTCAGAAGCCGGATGGGATGAGTTGCGGCATCGGAGGACGGGAGGCACGAGTCCTTGGGATCGGCGCGAGCCCTTGGTGGGGGCTCCTGGGATCGGAATTCCCCAGCTCGGGCCTGGCCGCCTGGAGCTGGAGATCCAGGGAGTGGAAGGCGAGAGGAAACAGACAGTATCAGTAAACAAACCAGAAAAAGGCTGATTTTTTGGTTCCCCTTATCGTTGTGGTGTTCGCTGTACGCGGCTAGTTCTTTGTGTGGGTCCCGTGTCCTAGCTGGCGGGCCCTACAAAGTACACAATCCGGGTCACCGGCCGCCGGCTGTTACTGCAATCGGGCCGCACGAAAAGTGACGCATTCACGGCCCATGAGCAACGGCAATTGTGGTACGCCTATCCGCCGACCGCTGGCAGATAGCACCTGCCGACCCGAAACCGCCCCCGCAAACACCCCACCCCCCCCCCCCCTGACCCGAAACCGCCCCCCTGCAAACACCCCACCCCCCACCCCCCGACCCGAAACCGCCCCCGCAAACACCCCCCAAACCCCAACTTCCTTCACCAAATTCAATTGTGTTGTTAACAGCCACACAGTAAAATCCAAAATAGCTGACATCAGCATATATCCTATGTTTTTTTAAAGTAAAAAAAGTCATAACTCCTAAACCAGATATTATAATTATAATCCGATTCGTGTTCCTTGCAATAAACTTTTCAAAACACGACCCCACATGAATACATTTCGATAAAAAAATTTAAAGAACATTTATCTCATGACGAACATGTATTTAAAAATAATCGTCGAACATCACATTAACAATACAAGAACATAAAAAAGCATAGAACATCATATGTATACTACGTGAACATCACATATATCATGAAATTAAAAAATAAAATATATCCTAGAATATCAATGTATACTACATGTCGATGTACAAAGTGATCAATAAGTAAATATTTATAGTTTTGCCGAACGTTGTGATCGGAGGTGGCCTAGCACTCAATGACACAGGGTTTATACTGGTTCAGACAACGTGCCCTATGTCCAGTTTGAGTCAGTCGATGACTTTATTTCTAAGTTCAGGTGCTCGAAGTTTGCAGTGGGGTTATAAACGAGAAGGAGAAAGATGGGGTGCACGAGAGGTCCGGTCGGCTCTGGTCGGAAGGGCCGAGAGCGACAGGAGCTCCTCTATGAGCTAAGTGTTGAAGCGTGTGCTTGAGGTCCGAACCTGACGGTTCTGTGGTTGTGAGCTAGTGAACTTGATCGATCTGGATTAACTGAGTTTCTTAGGAGAGAGCGCACCCCCTTTTATAGATAAAGGAGATGGCCTTACAAGTGAGAGGGAAGGAGTACGTTTGCTTCTAAGCCTTGTTGCCCACGCCGGCGGGTACATGATGATGGTAGACACCCACAACACTGTTGGATGTCGGATGTATGTGAGAGGTTACGTCGTCTTGTTTTCGGGTATGGCAGATGTCGGTACCTGCATATATTGTTGATGCCCTAGAGGCATGTGAGGAGTTTCACCATGTTCCCTCGGTACGGTAATTTCGAGCGCCCACAACGCTGTCGATGCCCAAAGGCATGTGAAGGGGGGGCTTACCATGTGGAAGTTAATAGCGCCCACACTACTGTAGGTAAAAAGTCGGCGCCTACAATACTGTTTGTGTCAGGGCGGTTGCAGAGTACTGTTCCTACAGGTGTAGATGGTATGGTCCCCGGTACCGTGGTTTGACTTATGCGTCTTGCCTTGTTTTCTCTGTTCGTTCCCTGGTCCTTTCTGGACAGGCGTCCGTGGTCGGTTGGTCCCAGTCGGCTCTGGTTCCGCCAATCGGAGAAGAGCGGTGAGCAGGGCTTCTACATACTGTGACAGAACCGCCCAATTTATACAAGATCAAGTACGGTTGTCCCCGCTAACACGTTGACACACCCATACTTTCACTCATATAAACCCGGTAGTCCGCCGAGTGTCCCGAAAGACCTCGATAAATCAACATCACAACCAAGATCGCGTGATTAAGCAAATACACATCACATACATCGAGTTGCAGCGAAAATAATATTACAAAGGGGTTAAGAAATAATAGTACAAGTTTGGGTTTCAAAACTGATTAGTGAAAACAACATAGCTTTCAAATGATTACATTATTATAAGTTCCAAATATATGGCTAGCATAGTGACATCATCCGACAAAAGCATATAGATGAGAAGTAAGTATAGAATCACCGAGTCCACCGGTGGTTAGCCACCATCATCAACAAAGTCGAGAACATCACCGCAATAAGGTGGGATAAACCCCGAGTACTTGAATGTACTCAAATGAGGACTACCTGTTGGAAACCAAAACAAATGACACCAAGGATCATGCAAGGCTTTCTTTAGTGGGCTAGTGACTTGTTTGCGAAAAGCATAAGCTATCATGAAGAAACCATTTTAAGTACTTTGCATCATCTTTATTATGACCTATCCATCTAGGTAAGCACCTGCATTATAGCAATCACTTGATTAACCAATAACATCCAGCTACCAATTTAGATTTAGCATATCCCATACCATCCAGATAACCATCATTGTTCCATAATAATTACTACGATGCAATAAACTTCGAGTCAAGTGCTCACTATCCAGGAGCGATGGCGATTCAAATCGATTCCTAACCAGCTGGTGATTTATTCCTTACACAAACCTCACTCACCCGTTAAAGTGAGATATTGATCACCGAGTCAACTATCCAGGAATCTCGAGTTTGCCAGGAACCACATGTACCCGGGGGCCGACCGACTGCACTTTGGTCTTATCATCTCGCCCCCGTGTCCTACCACACCTGCTTCCGCACAAGGCGTCATGGGCAATCTACTCGGCCCGAATAATCTCCCCACTTCATGGGTCGGAAGGTACTTTATCCGCCAGCTAAAATGTAAGGCATGCGTTCAACATGACTCGAGGCCCAACAACGGTCGGTCCTTAATCGACACAGACGAAACTAACAAAGACCCCGTAACCCCTCGTCTGGTTGCCTCCAACTTTTTCCGTCCGGTCTTCAATTATCCATCACACATGGTTAATTCCAGGATATCATTTTCTCCATAGCTAAATTCTTCCAGTAACCACCTATAATGTAGGTGATCGGATATCACCGATCGCTACCGGCCTAAGCAAGGCTAAGCAGTTATTCGATCCTGACCTAACAGGGTAAAAAGGTAATAAGGTAGGCAAGGATAGTAATAAATGCATCAACGGTTTCAATCAACTCCTATAACTTAATGCAACAATATATAACTCATATATAGAAAGAATTGCTTTTATAAATTAGGAGACTTATTAATGCTCCGGGGCTTGCCTGGGATCCGACACAAGTCAGTTCAGTTAGCTTGCACCATCCTGGTGACATCTTAGATCCTAGCACTCGCTTAGTCCTTCCATCTTCGGGACAGATCCATCAAATACTGTCTTCGGGTTTGGCTCCAACATCACGTCCTTCACGTGGTTCATCTAGCGTACCTAGATGAGATGCAATATGCAAGTGCATAAATATGAAGAATAGTACCATGAGACACATCACAAAATAGCAAGCAAGACAAGCATAGTTTACACTAACACACTTAAGTACTTTGCGATGCTTAACTTAAACATCACACAATCTATCATGCTAAGATGGCAAAGAAGACGACAACACCAATCATGACACAAGTTTCCCAAGATCTCAAGTGCTCTAACTCAGTCATCATTCAAGGCATACGTCACACTTAACAATATACAAGCAAGCACTATAATTGGAATCTGCCAATTTCTGGACATGCAAACAGCAGCTACAAGATTTAGCTATAACTGGAGTTACACAAATCCAAATGACTTGCAAGAAGACATTATGGAAAGCTTATGAAATTTTCTACAATTCATATTTAATCATCTTAGCATGATTCTCAAGTTAACTAAGTCAAATATATCCATTTACAGAAACTGGTCTACAATTGACAGAAAGCAGCCATTTCTGAAACCCAACTTTAAACAGCTATAACTCTTAAACTACTTGGCCAAATGACACCAAATTTTAATACAAGCTAGATACATGAATTATCTACAACTTTTGTATAAATAAGTTTCACAACAAAGCACATTATCATGAAGAACTTTGCTAAGTTTCCAGATCTGTCCATAAACCACATCGGCAAGAAAATAATTATTAACTTATGATGCAAATACATAATTGGGCAAAACCAACTTTATCAACATTTCACACATGACTAAAGAACAACAGAAAACCTAGTGTCCATGACCAAATAAATTCTTTTAATGCATTTCTTAATTTATTTTAGATAACAAGGTGACTTAATGAACATATACCAAAAGTGCACAATAACTTCTACAAAAATTACAGTGGCTCACATATCCTCTCAATAGTCTACTGTACAAATTTCACTCCATTTGAATATGTATAGCAACCTCTATGAAAAAGACAAGTTGCTAAAGCAAGAAATCATGTGAGAGCAAGATAAACCAATAACTCACTCATACTTCATCCAATACTCATGAAATTTTTACCACACATCAACTATCACATGAATAGCATGCCACAAAAATTTCACTTCATTTGGAGCCCTAGATCTACAGTTATGAAAAATAACAAATTCAACTAGCATTACAACCTTACTGCACAATTCTATTTTTACCGCAAAATATTTAAACTAAAACATGCCATATTATAGATCCACTGCATAGACAATTTCACAAGGATTCCAAAAAGTCCTCATTTACTATTTTACGAATTTTCTACGATTTACTATGAATTTCCAAAGTTCCTGCAAAATCATTATAAACCAGTCCTTACGACACTATTCACATGAGTCTATGACATTGCAGATAGGACCCTCCCTTTCTTCAAATTGCTGTGCGAGGTCCCCGACGTGAATTTGGAGCAGAGGATCGCCGGGGAATCGCTGCTCCGGCCGGAGGAGGCCATGCCGTCG